CTGGCACGCAGTGTTTGATGTATGGGTGCTTCTAGGCCAGTGCCTGGTATGCAGTGTTTGATGTATGTAGCCTATCAGCCTAACACTGCACACAGTACGGCTTACTATGCACGAACTGTTAGCCTAGTGTCTGAAGCATAGCATGTGCTTAATATGTGAGCACTGTTAGCTCAATGCCTAGCTCACAGTAGGTACTTAATATGTGTGTCCTTGATGCTCTATAGTCCATAGTCCATGGCCTAACACACAGTAGGTGTTTAAAATGTGGAGCCTTGTTTTTCAGTAGAACCCCTAGCACAGTACTGGTACACAGTAGGTGATTTAACTTTTGTAATCTAACTTTCTTATATAGCCAATAATAAATGTAAGAGCTTCTAGCTTTGTGCCCTGACACACAATAAGTGTTCAGTATGCAGGAACTTTGCCCAGCACACAGTAGGTGTCTCATAGGATGTGTCCAGAGCTAGTCTGGTTTTGCTACAGTAGATGTCTGAAGAATTAGCACTTCAGTTTTTATTTTTTATAATACCTGGCATGTTCACAGAGGCAATAAGGCCAAGAGCACAGTGATTGGTTGTTGGGACAGCCTCAGGGGCCCCGTGTCTCAACTATTCAGTAAGTGAATGAGCCCTAAGCATATTTAATCACTGTATTTTTTTTACCCCAAGTTACTGGGAAATCTTCAGCACTTTGCGAGAGCTCGTACTAATTAGATGTTTAGTTAATACTATGCTATTGGCTGAGACACCTTGTAAGTAGTAGGACTGTTTCCTGACTGCTAACCCTGTTTGCAAATACCCAGCTCATAGTAGTCCTTCAACAGCATGTCTCTAGCTTATTCTATGAAGCCTTTGTCAGGTAGCCTACACATGGTATGTACCTGTATGTAGGGCTTCTCTTGTTCTTCATGCTTGGCATAGTACTCAGGACATAGTAGGTGGGGAGGTGGTAGGCAATTTTGCTCTCATTCTTTGGAGCCCTTGGGAGTGCTTAGCGCATAGCAGAGACTCAGTTTCTGGAGCTTCAGTTGCAGTCCTTGTCATGGTGCCTGGCACAGAGCCTATCCAGCTAAGTACATCCCTTTGTATATTAATGTATGCAGTTTCTGGCATGTGCCTGGCCCATAGTAGGCTTCTCTTTTGCTATTTTCTGAAGGTCATGACAAGTGACCAAACAACGAACAGGTGCTTGGCATGATTCTCTTGTGGTGCCAGGCACATAGTAGGAGTGTGGGTCCTTAGTATGTGGAGCTTCTGTTGTGGCTTTGTTTGTCATAATGCCAGACACAAAGTAGGTGCTCGATAATTGCTTTCTGTATTCCATGACGCCTGTGTCACATTCTTGACACACAGTAGGTACCTGATGACATACTCAAGCACATAGCAGAGCCCAGCGGCAAGAGTGTTCACCACCACCACCTTTGTTCCAGTGCCTGAGTCACAGAAACTACCCCACACTGGAGACATACTATGCACATAGCAGTTACTGTCCCATAGCAAGCTCAGCAGTTCTTGGCCAGCCCTCCCAGACCCGCCCACCCACCCATCTCACCTTTGATTGACACTCGCTTCTTTTGGGTTCGACTTTTCTTTGGTTCGTTCTGTTTTGTTATCATCTTTTTATTTTCTCTTTCCCATCTTCTGTCCCTGCCTTCCCTGCCCATCCCACCTCCCCACCCCCACGCTCTCCCCAATAGAACCGTCAGCCCCCCCTCAAGACGTTAAGTGCACCAGCTTGCGCTCCACGGCCATATTGGTAAGTTGGCGTCCGCCACCACCAGAAACTCACAACGGGGCCCTGGTGGGCTACAGCGTCCGCTACCGACCGCTGGGCTCAGAGGACCTGGACCCCAAGGAGGTGAACAACATACCCCCGACCACCACTCAGATCCTTCTGGAAGCTTTGGAGAAATGGACGGAGTACCGTGTCACCGCCGTGGCTTACACAGAGGTGGGACCAGGGCCCGAGAGCTCGCCCGTGGTCGTCCGCACCGATGAGGACGGTAAGCACAAGCCCAGGCTATACCCAAGCTATGCCCGCCCCTGGCAGCTCCAACTCTGGAACGGGACTGGGATCAATGAGAGCCAGGAAGCCAGTGAGAGCTGGCCTGGAGCCCAGGTGCCCTCCTCCCAGGGCATGCCTGTAGGGGGCCTCCTGAACCAGAGTCCTAGGTGCTCTGGGGCCCTGCATCATTCCCGCCTGGAGCCAGGCGGCCACCTCCACCAACACACTTGCAGTGGCCTGTTTAGAGGCCAGATCGCTTCAAGTAAAGGGCTAGTGTGAGCCACAGGCTGGGGCTGGGAGCCACGCACCATGGGAAGAAGTAAAGTGCTGACAGTGTCAGTGCAGGTAGAGGGAGGGTTTAGACCTGATGAGATCTGAGCACTTGATATGCTGGCCTACTAGACCAGGAGATGATGGCATTTGGGGAACTCCGACCTGACTGCCTAGTGTGTCCCAGCTTTGGGATCATGAATTCCATTTTCCAAGCTGTAGTTTCCCCATCTGTAGACTGCAGAGATATGTATCAGTTCAGAGGGGAGAAGTGGTAGGGATGGGGCCTTGGAGAGGGGCCCCAGGCTCCGGGGGCCCGCCGTGGTCGTTTTGTGATGCTGCAGCCGGTCTTGGGAACATAGTGGATAGAAGAGGGCCATGCCTTCCCAGGCCAGCAGCTATCCAACACCCTGACTCGGGGCAGGGCCTGCCGCCCTGGTAACAACAGCCCCGCTGCCCCCCCTCCTGCCCGCCAGTGCCCAGCGCGCCCCCGCGGAAGGTGGAGGCAGAGGCGCTCAACGCCACGGCCATCCGAGTGCTGTGGCGCTCACCCACACCCGGCCGGCAGCACGGGCAGATCCGCGGCTACCAGGTCCACTATGTGCGCATGGAGGGCGCCGAGGCCCGTGGGCCACCGCGCATCAAGGACGTCATGTTGGCAGATGCCCAGGTGGGCAGGCGCAGCTGGGGTGGCGGGGCGGGCTCCTGGGCACGGTTTCCTCTCTGCTCCCCACTCCCACTGCTGGCTCCCTTCTCACTTCCCTCCTCTCTCTCCCTCCACCGCCTCCCGCTCAGTGGGAGATGGACGACACTGCTGAGTATGTAAGTAGTCTCCCAGGCCATCCTGCTGCCCTTGCTGTGCACTCTGCATGCCTGTGACCCCTGCTCTCACCGTCTGTGTCCCTGTGTGCCCTCCATAGCTTCTGATGGACCTAGGGTCCGGAAGGACAGCTGTCAGCCTGCTACACCTGAGCAGTCAGAGGTGGCTCTAGAGCAGGGTGACTGTCTCTGTGCTGCTCTGGGTCTGACAGGAGACGTGGGCTCTGTACAAGGTCCAGAGTTGCCACTAACCTTATAGGGGTCTCTCTCATGCCCCAAGGGGAGGCCCTCTTTCTTTCCTGCCTGTGTTTCTGCCCCCCCCCCCCGTGCTCCTGAGGATTTGAGGATTTCTGTACTGCTAGGCATGCACTGTGTGTGTGTGTGTGTGTGTGTGCGTGTGTTTTGACTGGAGCACCCAGGAGGGCATCAGAACCTAGTGTGCTTGAACACTTGCTGTCTGGGGTACAGTGTGAACAGACTACCCCAATGTGCAGTCACACTATTATCTATATAGGGGTGAGCCCCAAGCGTGCGGCAGTCAGCATAGTGAAAAGGTTAAGGCTTACTGCTGAGGGATTTGGGCTGAGAAAGGGTTAGCCTGACACCCCAAACTTTACCTTAGACTCCAGGGTAGGCTTTAGTCATGGCCAGCACCTCTCCATCCCACCTCTCTCTTACTTCTCAGAGTTACATTTTAAGTTTACAGTTTTGCATCTTAACATTAGATAGCTGTTTCATAACTGGCCTTCAGATTCCAGTTAGGGTTAACTGTTGAATTTCTCAAGTTGCTTGTGGGCAGCTCTGATAATCTACTGGATTCAGAGGGAAGCCAAGCCGAGTGTGTGAAGGCCCTGGGGTAGGATGGGGCCTGGGGTAGTAGAAGCACCCAGGACCCCCTGTAGCTGAAGCACAGTGCCTGTGAGAGGCACAGACAGAGGAAAGGAAAGGGGGCAGCAGATGAGCAGGGCCTGGTGGGCTAGACAGTGTTTACCTGACTCCATAAAAGGTGGGCGTCTCGGAGGGCCATGAGTAGAGGGATGATTCTGATCAGCATGCTCTCTGATGGCTGTTGCTGAGTACAGGAGCTGGGGACCTGGTGACTGCCTGGCCTGTGTGTTTCTGACAGGAGTGTGGACACTGCATGCTGCAGCCTCTGCATGAGCTCACCAGCATGTTGCCTGTGGACTGGAGGCGTCATCTCTCGTGTCTGTCTTAGGGGAGAAGGTGGACAGGGCTGGCATCATTGCTGACTATGCCCACCTGTCCCACCCACAGGAAATGGTGATCACAAACCTCCAGCCTGAGACTGCTTACTCTATCACAGTAGCCGCGTATACCATGAAAGGCGATGGTGCTCGCAGTAAACCGAAGGTGGTGATGACCAAGGGAGCAGGTAGAATACCCACCGACGGCTCAGCCTCAGGCTCCACACGGCCAAGAGCAGTCCCCATGATTCTTAAGCCAGGATGGTTTTAAGATGCACCAGGGGTTCCAGGGGCCAGGCACTGCTGGCCCTGGTGTCCATCTCTGCCCAGGTCACTCCCTCTTTCCAGACACTATATTCGTTTGCCTGTTTCCTCTCAGCTGCAAAGTGGGAGTCAGGCTTAAAGTGCTTAAAGGTAGCCCAAAAGATGTGCATGTGCCTCACATAGAATCCAAGCCTTTGTTTATAAGAAGTCTTTCCTAAAATGTGCCTTTAAAAACTAGACCTTAAGGACTGGGAGTGTGGTCAGGGGTGGATCCCTGCGCAGAAATCTCCCAGTGAGGGGCTGCGGTTGGGGCTTAAAAGGCAGGAGGCTGGCCCTGGTGGCAGGGCCACTGACTGACTCTCCCTTCACAGTGCTGGGCCGCCCCACCCTGTCGGTGCAGCAGACCCCCGAGGGCAGCCTGCTGGCGCACTGGGAGCCCCCCGCGGACGCGGCTGAGGACCCGGTTCTTGGCTACCGCCTGCAATTTGGACGCGAAGACGCGGCCCCGGCCACGTTGGAGCTGGCTGCTTGGGAGCGGCGGTTCGCGGCGCCTGCACACAAGGGCGCCACCTATGTGTTCCGGCTGGCGGCGCGGGGCCGCGCGGGGTTGGGCGAGGAGGCGGCGGCGGCTCTAAGCATCCCCGAGGACGCTCCGCGTGGCTTCCCGCAGATCCTGGGTGCCGCAGGCAACGTGTCCGCGGGCTCCGTGCTACTGCGCTGGCTGCCACCCGTGCCCGCCGAGCGCAACGGCGCCATCATCAAGTACACGGTGTCCGTGCGGGAGGCCGGCTCCCCGGGGCCCGCGACCGAGACGGAGCTGGCGGCGGCGGCCCAGCCGGGGGCCGAGACAGCGTTCACGCTGCGAGGGCTGCGGCCGGAGACGGCCTACGAGCTACGCGTGCGCGCGCACACGCGTCGCGGCCCCGGCCCCTTCTCACCCCCGCTGCGCTACAGGCTCGCGCGGGACCCAGGTAGGCGCCGCCCCGGGCCCCGGCCCGCCCCTCCCCGCAGGTAAGTCTCGGCCTCCACAGACTCAGCCCACGCGCCCGAGGCTCCAGTCAGTCGGTCGGTCGGCAGGCACAGGTGGGATGCGGCTCGGCGGCCGCGCCTGGAGGTCACACCCATGGCCGCGCCCCTCCCGCTTTTCTCCACAGCTGCGTCGTCGCTGCAGCAGCAGGCACTGGGGTCAGGGCAGGCAGGGCCGGGCCAGGCAGGAAGGCCGAGGGCACAGCGGACCACAGGGACAACAGGGGCCATCCCACGCGCCCCTTAGCCAGCACCCGGTTCTTACTCAGCTGTCTCTTATCTCTCCCTGCTTGCTTGCTACCCTCAGTCTCTCCCAAGAACTTCAAAGTGAAGATGATCATGAAGACTTCAGTGCTGCTGAGCTGGGAGTTCCCCGACAACTATAACTCACCCACGCCCTACAAGGTACTACTGCAATAGCAGGGGAGGCGGGAGATCTGGGTGCAGACCCCTAGGTACCCCTGCTGGGAGTCTGGGAGCCTGAGGGAGATCAGGGCTTCTGGCTGGCAGCAGAGCACAGTCAAGGTCACCTGAGGGCAGGATTTGATGACACTTAGGATGCACAATTTAGTCTGAGACTGAGTCTCATTTTGCAGCCCAAGCTGTGGGTTTCAGTGTCAGGTAGGTTTGAGACTGAAGAGGATCAATCACAGTTGGGACTCTGCTGGGATCAGGGTCTGTCAGGGTTGCTGCTGACCCTGGGATCAAGCCTCAGTCAGAGATGGGGCTCAGTCAAGGTTGCAGTCTAGTCAAGGCTGATACTCAGAGTCGGGGTTCTACCTGAAGCCAGAATTTAGTATGTTGTTCAGGCTTAGTCAGGATTGGGGCTTAGAGTTGAGGGACTGCCTGGAACAGTTGGTTGGTCCTGAGCCTGGCTCTGGGGCTTTGACATGTTTGAAGGTCAACCAGGGATCAAGGCTTAGATGGACCTGAAGTTTATTTTGGGACTGGGGCTCAGTCAGCTCTGTACTGAATTAGAACTCAGGAGCTAAGTTTGGGATTCGGTTCAGTCAGACGGTTCATCC